GTGATTCTTCCCATCACTCACTGACAAGAGATTCTACAATCGACCTCACTCAGGGTCCGGTCAGACAATGGAGCAGTAGTGTGGCACATCAACTGGATGGGATCGACAGGGTCTTCTCAACTCCTGCAGTGGACACAACGGTTCTTCCAGTTGGTGGACAATCTCGACATCTCCGTTTGTGCCAACCATATTCCAAGAGTGAAGAATGTGATTGCGGATTCTCTGTCCCGGCCACTTCATCCCTCCCCGACAGAGTGGAAACTACATCCACAGGTGTTCCAGACCATCTGCCTTCCACTGACGACTCCGACAGTGGATCTGTTTGCCACTCGTTTCAACCACCAGTTGCCTCTGTTCATGTCTCCGATTCCGGACCCTCTGGCCTGGGGGGCTCGACGCTCTAGCCATTCCTTGGGACGACCTTAACACGTACGCGTTTCCACCAGTGGCCCTACTTCCACACATACTACTGAAACTGCCCATGACTCAGCGGATGAGACTGCTTTTGGTCACGCCCTATTGGCCAGCCAGAGGGTGGTTCGTCGATCTACAAGAACTGGCCGATCCAGATCCTGTACCACTTGTTGAACGCGTCGATCTTCTGGTGCATCCACACTCCGATCAGCTGCATTGGTCTCTGCTCACACTCCATCTTCACGTTTGGCGCATCTCCATAAGTGCAAAGGGATATTCTAAGAGTGTCGCTACTGCCATCGCTACAGCGCATCGCTCCTCCACTAGGTCACTCTATGATGACAAATGGAAGAATTTTGAGGTGTTTGCACGTATTCATGTGGCCACCATGTGGTCATGTACCAACAGATTCGTGAGTTCTTTTAAGTGCACATGGTTGTGTACTGTACACTAGGGGTTGTGACAAAACTGAGAGAGTCTGCACACAAAGTTGACTCCAAGGTTTCTACACCCGGTCACAGGTGGGCTCGATCCCATCACCTCAAGCTCGCTGGATCACTAGCCTGGCGCTTTAGCCAGTTCGCCCACTGCGCCCCCTATACACAAAAATATTGATGTTGCATCTATTGCAGAAGTTGTCAATCTATAAAACTTGTTCCCTCTTCATCATACCAGCTTCCAAATGTCACTTAAAAAAGTTGCAGTTTATAATAATAAATCTTAAATTTGAGGTTGATTTTGTTAGATGGCAATGTACTGCTGGATGGTACAGCGATGGGAGTAAACCAGGTGGTGTCCTTCACCAAGTTTGCCCTGAGTCGGTCATTTGCGGAGAAGCTTTCTGAGAAACCATTGCCTTGTGTGTACATGCAGTGTGTGGAACAGAACAGCAATCCAACCGACTCCTTCAGCTGGATGAAATCGGCTGGTCTTAAATGTGAAACGGAGGGCTTTTTTTTTGCTGCCCAGGACCAGTCACTACCCACTCGCAATCGCCAAAATGTGATTCTTAAGCAAAATATCAGTATGAAATGTCGACTTTGCAATGAATTTACAGAGACTGTCCAACACTTTGTCAGTGGATGCCCTTCTTTGGCACAAACAGCATATCTTAAGCGACATGATGCTTTTACTACCGTCTCCGCCATGCCTGTGGCTTTGACTCCGAGGTCATCCATGGTACGACCCTGAACCAGGGCATCATGGAAAATGATGCTGTCAAACTTCTGTGGAATAGGTCCATATACAGCCTCAGAAAAATTCCAGCCAACCTGATCTTGTCGTTTTGATAAAGCCAATGAATTTATTTACATCATTGAATTTTCTGTCCCTTTTGACAGCAACGTGATTGGCAAGATTCAGGAAAAGCATGATAAATGCCTTTTAGGTACGTAGGTCCAGTAGTTTTGGAGGAGATGATATTTATAGTTAAAAGAAATGCACTATGAGAAAATATGGCTCCACGGACTAAATGCGAAGGTCAATTCTTGAAAAAACACAAAACAACACAAAAACAACACAAAACATTACGCATGTAATAGGACGATGTCTGGCTGTCATGTATGATGATGGACTTTGCGTTGTGTATTTTTATATGAGATGTTATGGTGACATTAACGGCCAAACTCGTTCTTCTGGCCCATGTTCTTTCCATTTTATGTTGCGGGATGAACGACAATTCAAGACGGTATAGTTAAACAAAGTATATTTATTATGATAACAACATATAAATTAAGCACTTGATCGACATAATGCTCACGCTTTCACACCATTCTGGACGGACATGGTTTCATATGGTTAGAGTACTGTAACACATTCACAAGAGCACAAAAGATCACAATGTAACAAAAGTTAAGATGGTTTCATGTGTCACATCTGATGCCAACTCGACTAGATTCTGCAGTAAACTTCTCACTGCCTCAAAACAACAATGTGCAACAACGTCTCACAAATGCTATAAGCTGTGTCACCTCTGACACCAACTGGACTAGATTCTGAAGTAAACATAACTCACTGCTACAAAACGACCATGTGCGACAACATCTCGCAAATGGGATAAAAACTATGTCACAACTAATGCCAACTCGACTAGGTTCTGCAGTAAACGTCATTCACTTCTACAAAAACAACCATGTGCAACAACGTCTCACAAATGGTAAAAACCGGGTTACAACTAATGCCAACTTGCCTAAGTTCTGCAGTAATTGTAATGCACCACCATAAAACAAAAGGCTGCATGAAAACCTCCCTAAACCCAACAATATCTTGCTTAACAACCTTAAACGGACTTCTACCTAATTCCTATTTGTTCCTAACTGCTGTAGCAGAAACATTTTTCATGTTTTTAATAAGTCAGTTTGGTTTGTTTGTATAGAACTATTTTACAATTATTGAATATAAAATGGTGTTATAGTGTTTTATTGTTTACAAGTAAAATAAGAATAAAAATATTATATAAGTCATAAAAAAGGTCACTAAAAATATTGAAGGTTGGTGGTAGTGTTCTAAAGTTTGTGGTTTTATGCGTATGTCAATCATATTGACATTTGGTTGTATTTATCAAGTATTTCAGATGAATTTCATTCATCTGAAACGTTCTTATTATGTTTAGGATTCACAAAATATGCTGGATCTAGAGTATGGTCTCATTCTGGATTATTGTTTATCACATGACCCTAATTCCTAGCTTTTAATTGGCTAATTTTAAATTCCCATAATTCCCAAGCACCAATCTGAGCACCCTTGTAATAACACTTTAGCACAGCACAGCACCCAGGCAACAAGGCAACAAGGTCCACTAAACAGCATCAAACAGGTTAGTTAAATACTTTAACACTAAATTATGCTTAAGTGTATTTGTTCTTTTACATCTCCATTAAATTAATTGCAGTCTAAATGTTATTTAGTAATTTGTAATATATGGTCATGTTGTAAACCTACTAAACTTGGTTAATTACCTTAAAGCCAAAGTTCATGTTGTATTGTATTATAACTCATGTAAAACAAAATAGCATTATAAGTAATGTTCTGTTTTTACAACCATTTCCCTCAGTTTTCTAAATGTATTTAAGTGCAATGGTTTTCTGTGTGTTCTGTGAGTGGAGAACAGAAAAAATTGTGAAAGCATTGTCATGTTGATGAATGTTCTGTATGAGCAACCATGGTGCTCAGCTTTTCCTTTGTATATGCTTACAATGGTTTTCTTTGTATTGTGTGAACGGAGATCGTCAGTGATGGTGAATGTATTGTCACAATGATGAATTATGTTTGTAATTGGCAGGTCACATATGTATCAGCACAACACAGTCTAATCAGTAAGGCTCTATTCCACAAATGGGTAAGATGTATTTTTATATGTCAATGTATATCCTTTTTTTTATGTACACCTTTCGGGTAACCTTTAAGGGTTACCAAATATTTATCTGGTTGTATGTCATGTTAATTGTGAACTTTATTGTCTGTCAGATATGTGTACATATTGTTGTAATTTAACATTATTTGGGCAAATGTGTTATTTGGCAATGAATTATCTCCCTTGGTGTCACAACCAACGTTGTGCATATAGTTTCATGTTATTATTATTTCCTTTGACAGTTTATAATGTGGTATAATTCACATGTGTAAATGTATAGACTACAGAATTGTGGTAAGCTAATTGTGATACCTATGCAAAACATTATGTAATGTGTAAATGTTTCTAAGAATGTTGTGTGTTTCAGGGCTTGATGTATGATTAAAGAAAATATCTGAATAAACCGCACCTCACCCCTACAGCGAGTCATGTGATCCATTGACATCACTTGGCGATTTAACCAGCTGTAACACTGCTACTGTTCTCTAACAATAAAACGAGATGCATGGAGTCACCACGCCAGCAAAGATGAATCCATCCACCCTGTCTGGCCTTAATTACCCCAAACTGTCTAAAACTTTATTATTAAACAAACATAGTAAGATGGGGGAAAAGGGTTTCATTCTTATGCAGAACGTACGAGGGTTTCGTTCTTATACAGAACGTACAGAGAGGGGAGCTCTCACCTCCAACCAGCTGCTGGTCGTAACGGACTGACTACTGACACGCGCTACAGCGCTTATATATCCACCCGTTAGTGAACACCCGGATGCGAAAAGTAAGGCTATCAGCGATTGGCTGAGGCCTATCCAATCTGAGCGCTCCTAGTAGACGCTCTGACTGTAAACTAAAACATGTGGCGACTTAACCACAACAGACGGACTGATGGACTGACTGATGGACGGACGGACTGACTGACTGACCTAGGATACATCCGAAGTACTCACTATCGCAACTGGAACATATACGAGCTGCAACTCTCATAAGTACCCGTAAGTACTGACAATCACACAAGCTGAAAAACCCTTTTTACCACACACACAAGTACTAACCAAACATGCACTCAATTTAATATACTGAAACCAAAGAATTTTTAGCTTTGTCTCTTCAGAAACAACTGCACCAACAAACCAAATGAATGACAAAGGTTCCATAAGACAAGCAGACTTGGCTTTCAGCTAGTAACCTTAAAGGCAACATGAAAATACCAGCCATATCTGAACATAACACTTACCTGAAGACTGTAGTGATGATTGCGAACATATTCCTGATATATGCTCAACATTGGCAGAAGCATGTCAAACAAATCCCCTGTAGAAAAGAAGATTTGAGTATTATGCGATGACAAAAATCATGTGAAGAACATTGCTAATTTAATATTGGATTAAACTGATCTAATTTACCCTTTCTCTTTTCATTAGTTCCCCAATGTACCTATACAGGTAAAATTATGCTAAACTCTGACAACATGCAAATGTTGCCATGTATGTATGAAACAACCCACCACCTAAGGAAATTACCACACCTGTCCCAAGGTGAGGACTTCACACCAGGCCATACGTTCTCACAAAGGCAAATGTCATGTGAGTAGGGGCATTCTCAAACTATTGCTGTTTTTGTACTTTATTGACATAGAGGTTAGAAATCTACATAAAAGATATCCCTCTATCAAGGCAACTTGATCAGGAAGCCCCGCCCCCAATTGTCATAAATGGGATGGAGATATAGAGATTACTAATTGAGTGTCTGTCAGGTACTATTTATCTTACTACTACTTGTAAGATAGATGGTATCCAACAGACACCAGTACAGTAATATGTTTCTTACACACCATAAAATTGCAGCATTTTATGGTTTAATAGGTTCAAATTTCATATTTTCTCATTGTAATGGCACACCACAACACAATGTTTGTGAATGAGTGATGTCACTTGGCTTCCTAATCACCACTCATCCCCGAGGTGACCTTCCACAAAAACATTTCTGCACAACTGTGCATTATCAGGGCAATAATGATAATACAAACTAGATAAAGTCAGAAAAACTTAATTAAACACTAAAAAATGATGTTGCCATGTAGATGGCTTTACTTATTACAAGCATAAAATATTTGAGCATGTGACGTCATCGTTATCGTTTGGTGGTTGTCGCCATCGGAAGATTGTTTTGGATATCTCTGCACATAGGGGATCCGTACTTGTGTACCAGTTTACATTCAATGTTCTCCCTCAACAGGAGCCAAAACTTTTGAGTGTGTGTAATCAAAGTACTGTCAGAAATAGAAAATAAACTGTTTTTAGGCTATTCCTCTGTATCCCTAAATGTGAAGCTCATTTCTGGTGTCCCCCGCCGTGATATTGCTGGAATATTGCTAAAAGCGGCGTAAAACCAAACTCACTCACTCACTCACTGTATCCCTAAAATTTACACAACTGCAAATAGCAGATGTCGAAATAACCGACATCGGCCTAACTAGGCCCCCTACTGGGATGTGCAATAGGATATCCTGAAAAGCATGTTTACTTGTAAAATCGGGCAAAACTTAGAAAAAATACAAACAGCTGCTGAAAACGGCCTACCTTTAGAATACAGCACCACAAATTTTAAAAATACGTCATAATACCCTTTTACGTAATGTAATGTGATTTTGTTCGAAAGCACGTTCTCGAAACAATGCCCTATGACGCCAGCATGGCAACACGGTTGTCTGGCTCAGCGAGTGAGTATAAGCTCCGTTCACTGGTGTTTCATCTCTAAGAGCTATGTCATTGCATAAGCCCAACGATGTTGAGAGTTTCCAGTAGTTGTATACTGGCGGATGCGCAATATTTTGCAAGCACCAGTTTGAAATATTTTTCTTTTTTCACTAATACGCTCATATTTATTTGTATTACGGGGTGCTGAGGTGTTACGTTTTTTGTATTTTGTAATTTATTATATTTACATATATATATATATGTCATTCACTAATTTGCACCATTACATGGAAAAGTGTTTTATTAGTATTTTATTTTTCGAAGCGGTAATAATGCATTACACTAGACACGTCAGTCGTGTTTGTGCCGGTTCGGTCAATGCATTCTATTTATTAGGATTAATTCAAGGGATTAGGGTTAGGGTGAGGACTAGGGTTAGGGCTTAGGGTTTAGGGTTAGGGTTGGGGGTTGGGGACCTAATGCAACATAGTAGGTACATGTCCGGTGGTTCGGTCAATGCATTCTATTTATTAGGATTATTTCAAGGGGTTAGGGTAAGGGTTAAGGCTGAGGGTTTAGGGTTAGGGTTAGGGACCTAATCCAATATAGTAGGTACATGTCCGGTATAATACGTGAGTACCAATTGTTGTTTTTCCTTTTTGCATTTTAATACTTTTTTTCCACACAAAACGGGTAACCAAAAACGTCGAAAGTACATTAAGAAATGGGTTAATGTAGAAATTTTGGGCTAATGGAAATTGGCCTGGAATTTGCACTCAAGCCTCTTTCACACGCAACATAAATTTTGTAAAGTAATGATTCGAAGGCTAACTCACCCTCGTGCCATCACTAGACATGCTCATGTCTCCCTCGTTCCTTAGTGCGATCCACATTATCCCTACAGTGTTCCCTACATTACTTTTCTGTCACAAAATCACCGATTTATATAAAAGCGCGTCATTCATGCATGCACCCGTGAAATCTCACGCCTGGCGCCTGACGCCAACAACCCTTTTCAGTTTGAGGCATATCGGCTCATTCCACGCCACACGTTAATTTGTAGATTACGGAATGGGACGAGTGTGCCAAATGGCATCGGATCCATTCGGCAATTGTCCGTAGAATAAAATCACGAGACACCAAGTCTGCTCGTAGCATTCGTAATTGTCCGTGACCTATTCGACTCTTTCCGTTCATTTCCGTGACGTCACAGGAATGACTCGATAAATTTGCACATTGTGCAACAGTGTGGACGTAGCTCAGTCGGTTAGCTGTCGAGCTAACAATCCGAAGGTCGCGGGTTCGCGTCCGACGGGTTCTCACAAACTGGTTGCTTGTCTTAATGACACGTGACCTATGGCAGAGATCGTCCTCACGAGAAGTTGTGGTGCTGTATTCTAAAGGTGCTCCCTGAAAACAATAGATTAGACTATAGATGGCAATTAGGTCGCTCAGCCAGGTATGACGATGGACCTTCGACTCACCTGGCATGAAATGCATGTGTTGCCCACACGCACAAGATGTCATCTCAAAGATATTCTATGCTTTTTTCATGTGTGTTGAATATGCCTCATCTATTGATTAACAACTTTCATGTCTTTCTTTCATAAAGTTTATGTTGAGATATGTAAAATAGTATGATACCCATAGAAAAGATTAAATTAGCCATCGTATTAAAAGTCTCAAAATACATAGGTAGCATGACCACCCGAAGATTGACAGGACTGGATATCATTTGAAAATTGTTGTGACATGCCGTTTACTTCCCCAGTTTAATTCCCCTAAAGGATTATTTTATCTTAGCGGATATCTCTATCCCCCAACCTGACCCCAACATCCGTCTGCGACCCCCGTTCTGGTTTTGCTTTGAGACGACCCCTCCTTCTTGTTTGTTTCTATAGTGATAGTGAGACTCCATGGTAGCTACATCCTTAATAGTTTCAGCATTAAAGAACCACTAAACTTTGTTTTTTGTTACTCTTTTAACCATTACATATGAAAGATTTGTGGTTAGTCTTATGCGGAACACCAAATTTATTCTTTAAAAACTTGTGGTTAATTAATACCGAGCGATTAAAAGTGGCCAAAAAGTCGCCTGCTTCCCTCTCGCCCGCCAACGAAACCACAGACAGGTTACGTAACTCTGTCGCCAGAGCACTGCAGTGACGTCATATGAGGAATGATTTTCAGTTAGTTGTATAGAAAGTGTGTAGCACGCTCATCATTTTGATGATTTCTCGACATGAACGACGACATGCCGAATCGTTGCTTTGTCGTCAATTGCTCCGAGAGGTCGGGTGATGGTGTCACCATGCACAGATTTCCACAGGATCCCGCAGTTCGTGCTAAATGGGTTATGTTTGTGAGTGCGAAGCGAGCGTTGTGGAAGCCTGAAACGATATCTTACTTGTGTTCAGATCGCTTCACGGAAGTTAAAGAATCAAAACTACTTACTAGTTATAGTAAAATATGTATATGATTGATGACCATAAAGATTTTCCATAACACAACTTGTAACATAACGATTTCTTCCTCGGAAGTGAGGTTGTGGTCGAAGTAACAATAATATTGTAAGTAGTATTATATTGACACCCACCTCGCTGCCAGGAGAGAAATTGTTATGTTATACGCTATGTCATGCAAAATCCTATTGGCCATCAATAAAATACATATTTTACTACCAGTAGAAAGTAGTTTTGATTTTGTAACTCAGTGAAAACAAACCTAAATAGCATTTATCCACAGACTGGCTGGATGTTCCCGACATAGGGGAGCAGCCATTTTGAAAATCGTAAAGTCTGTTAGAATTAATGAGATTATAGTTTGTTTTCATCAAGTTAGAAAATCAAAACTACTTCCTACTCGTAGTTAAATATGTATTGGAATCATAACCAAAAGGGTTTTGCATGACACAACTTATAACATAACGCATTTCTTCCACGGAAGCCAGGTGGGGGTCGAAGTCACAATACTGCGCGATAAATTTCTTGCTACATTCACATGGTTAATGTCCACTCACCAACATGTAGATACTAGTCAATGTGCGTCTTTATATTTGGTCTTATAATCCTAATTAGTTTATTATCATACTTTTATGCATTTTGAAACTAAATAAAAAGCTGACGATCTGCTGATACTTATAGTGAATTTATAACAGAACTGTAATATCTAGACATTTTATAGTTTGCCAATGTGAATCATAATTCGCACACACACCCTAGTGTATGTTGTCTGTCTCATTACGCTTCACGGCGAAAATAATGATTCTGTTGAATGCTACGACAAATGATTAAAAAACAAAATGCAAATATTAAAATTAAAACAGATTAAAGTTATAGGAACAATATCAGGCCATTACCTTGTTTGAGGAATGTATCCATCAATATCCACAAAACTGTTCCAAATGATGTGTCTTTTAACAGTTTAATATACGAAAAAGTGATAAATCTTTTCAGGTATTGGTGTATAGTCTCATTGGTCACCCAAGATAGCACACCTGGCAACTAATTGCATAATGTCCGCCTTTCATTAAAAACAGTAATTTAGTTAGCCAATAATGGGCAATCAATCAATGTATTGCCGGTTAATCCTTTGAAAGAAGGACGTTGTTTTACG